AGCTTCATCGATTTTGTGACTACTCAGCGTATCTTTAATTGGCATCATTAATGTGTTCTTAAATGTCTCCCATTTTTCGTTGGAATCTTTATTATCAATGATTATTATCTTGCTTAACTCTTCGTTAATTTTCAACGTTAGTTCTCTTTTTATATTCGGGTGTTTTAGCAGAGTGCTTATTTGTTGTGTCTTTTGTTGATTTTTTATTTGCTTTAAGTGGATTTCGAATTTTACGATTACTGGATTGTGGTCTCATGACACATTTATTCCTGGATATTTCTTTGCCGATTTGATGGAAGTACGGTATCTAATAATTAGAGACTAATAATAGAATAGTCCAAAACGCCAACACTATAAATGTTTTTTTATTTATACGTAGCTAATATAAAAATTTGTACAGAAGTTGTTTGTTGCAATTGTTTTATAATGTAATGAAGAAATAGGAGCTATTTTTAATAATTAAAAGTAAAGGGTAAATAAGATATGTTTTTATTTTAAATTAAACATAATCACTTACATTACTGTTCATCAGCTTCGTTCATGCAACTACAAATAAAATTACTCTCACTATCCGTCCTACCAATGTTTATAATAATTGGTTGAATAAAGTCCTTTTACCCTATTACGGCCGATATGCAGTTAAGATATAATCAGTAGGCCTCAAACAGTCATCTTCATCATCATCTTGGTGCTATAGCCCTTAGAGGGTCTCGACCTTCTCAATCTTTCTACGCCATTCTGTTCTGTCCCTTGCCTGCATTTTCCAGTTGCCGACTCCGATCTTCTCGGCATCTTGTAGTACCCCTTCCATCCACCTCAGTTTTGGTCTTTAGCTCAGCTCAGCTTATACGAGTTTTTTGAGAAAGACGTTTGTTATCTAAGTACTTTGATAGACCATGATAACACCTGTTTGTTATCATTATTTGCCTTTTTATTTCCTCATATGTGTTATTATTGAGGTTAACCGATGGCCCTAGTTATATGAACTCTTTGACTGCTTCGAAGTTTTGGTCATTGATGATTAAATCTGCGTCAACATTTCCAGCTTTTGTGTTTGTGTTAGGCGCCATGAATTTGGTTTTATTTTGCTTTATATGTAACCCCATTCGTTCTGCTGCTGCTACTAGCTCGGATAGGATTTCCGCAATTCTCAGCCTGGTTCTTGTTATAATGTCCACGTCGTCTGCATATGCTAAAATTTGGACTGATCTATTAAGTATTATTCCCCTACTATCGAAATTAGCGTCTCGTACAACTTTTTCTAAGCCTTAACCCCCTATGTATTTCAAATGGGGTTGACGAGTCGTATTGAATTTTTACTGCTGATAACATCTTCGCCATTGTCACTTTTTTCAAACATATGAGTTTTTTTGTAATTCCTAATTCATTCATAGCATTGTAAAGACTTGGTCTTAAGACAAAATCATATGCAGCTTTAAAATCGACAAAAATATGATACATATCTATGTTAAACTCTTGCGCTTTTTCGGGGATCTGTCGTAGTGTAAAGATTTTGTTAATAATTGAACGTCCACGCCTGAATCCTGTCTGATATTCTCCTAAAAACGTTTCGGTATAAGGCTTCAATCTCTCGTGCAAAATGTTTGACAATATCTTGTATGCTATATTTAGAAGAGTTATTCCGTGGTAGTAATTGCATTCCAGTTGGTTTCCGTTTTTGTGTAACGGGCAAATTAAGCCTAAGCTTCATTCTTCAGGCATTTGCTCCTCAGACCAAATTTTACAAACAATTTCTCGCATCACTTTGGTGAGCTGCTTTCCACCGTGTATAAATAACTCTGCTGGGATGCCATCGCTGCCTGGAAATTTGTGGTTCCTTAGTTTTTCTATCACAATAAAGAGTATCACAATAAACGGTACCCAACTTGAAAAAGTAAGCGAATACAAATACTTGGGAACCCTCATTAATGAAAGAGGTGACCAAAATCACGAGATAAAAAGACGTATTGAAATAGCCAGGTCTACCTTTATAAAAATAAAAAAATTATTTTGTAATCGTGATATTAGTATTTATCTACGAACTAGAATGTTAAAATGCTATGTATTCAGTACTTTGCTTTACGGTGATGAGGCATGGACTCTTAAACAGAGGAATGTTAAAAATCTTGAAAGCTTTGAGATGTGGTGCTACCGCCGTATACTAAGAATAAGTTGGGTGGATAGAGTTACAAATGAAGAGATAATACGTAGAATAAATAACGATCCAGAAGTTATTATGAATATAAAAAGGAGTTATTATTTTTGTACTTTTCAGGATAATAAATAACATTTAATAAAATAAAAGTTATATTTTATAGTCACCAAAATAACAAATACATTGTTTACATTGTACATACATGTACATGAAATATGCGTTTCGCTAGTATCAAATACCCTATCTAGAAGCTAATAAACTACTACTACTACTATCGGTTTACAGCGTTCTCCGAGGCCCTCCGACTCCTAACCTCCATTCTTCTCTATTTAGCCATAGGCCAGGAGGGATTTCTCTTTCCTCTAGTTCTTTTTCAATTCCTTCTCTCCGCCACTCCCTTTTGGTGTCCACGTCAAAATCTGTTTTGGAATCCTATCATCTGGCATTCTCTGTACAATGCCGTACCATATTAACTGTTTTGTTTTTATGCCATTAACTATTGTATGCTAGACTCACATCATTTCTCGTATTCTCTCATTTGGTATCCGATCTCTTTTTGATTTGCCTGCTGCTGTTCTCCAGAAGTCCATTTCTGTTACTAGTAACAGTTTCTCGTTCTGTTTCATTAGCCAAACTTCACTGTCATATGTGATCACACTTTTAAGTATGGTGTTGTATATGAGTTCTTTGTTCGCTTTAGATATTGTTTGGTCACACAGAATGCCGTTCATCATGGATATGGCGTTTCTGTTCTGTATGTTTCTGTCTTTTATAGCAACATCGAGTGTTCCATCTTGAATTATCTTCATACCCAGGTACTTGTATTCATCACAGTATCTAATTTCTATCCCATCATCTAATATAATAGACTGCTTTGTCCCTCCAATACACATGGCATTAGTTTTCTTAATGTTGACTTCGAGACCCCATTTGTTATATTCTTCTATTAGCTGCCAAGTCATGTAACTCAAGTCGACATAATCCTGAGCAATCAGTATTTGGTCATCGGCGAAACATAAGGTGTACATTGTAGTCTCGTCATTGAGAGGGATTCCCATGCCATTACATTTTCTTTTCCACAGCTTGAGTGCTTGTTCCAGATAAATTTTGAAAAAAGTAGTTAAATCCCTCAGATATCCTTGATCCAGTTTTAATTTTTGCAGTTGTTCCATTATACAGATTTTGGACTGTTTTGATAAGACCATTGCTTAATGTTGATTTGCTGTAGGGTTGACCATAGTTTACTGAGGGGTACGCTGTCATATGCTTTTTGTAAGTCTACGTACACCAGGTGAACTTCTTTATTGACTTTATTTTTTTTCTCAATAACTTGCGTAATAGAGTACAAAGGGTTTACTGTGGATCGCCGAGCTCTAAAACCAGCTTGCTCCTCTGCTTCTTAATCTCTATAGTCATTTTCTATTTTGTTCTTAATAAGTTTTCCATACATCCTACTTATATTGTGTTATTTACCGCAATTCCTCTGTAATTTTTACACTGATCATTGCTGCCCTTTTTGTGGATAGTTTACATGATAGAGTTAATTAAGAGAGCTATAACATCCTTTATTGCAATATATAGTAAAAAACCTTTTTCTTATACGGTGAATCATTAAAGGGCTTAAGAGAGGCTGTAATTGCGCTGGCACGCGCTCTTTAAACAATCATATCTCCGTTAATGTTTGTTTGACAGAAAGAACAAAACAACCAAATTTTTTGTCAGAAAAATACCTAAATTTTTTATCTTTTCACTTTTATACGTATCTGTTGTCATTTTTGAGATATGTTGAAAATAATTTGGTGTTTTTTTTTAATTTGATTTTTTTTAATCGTGACTTTTTTGAAAAATATGTGTTCTGAAGCAGCCAAGCTGATACAATATATAAAACTCTTTATAATAAAGTTAATTCTAGGCGGAATACGATTAATTTTAATTTTGGTGGAAATGACACTTATGAAATTGATTTAAAAGAAAAAACATTAGATGTTCCAGCTTACTTATTTTACGTGCAAAATACTTTGAATGGTGCTCATTTTAAAACTTATTTCAAGCACTACAAAACCCTTTTTTATTAGAATGCCTAAAATGCATCTGCTCGCCGCTAGATGGCATTGGCCACATCGGTTAAATTTCAGATAAAATAAAAAACGGCTTTGATCTTTAATATCTAGCTTAGTATTCTACTTACAATAATTTATAAAAAATCTTTTTTGTTTTTATTTTGTTTTGTTTTTTATAAAAATTTTTGCAGAGATATTTGCAAAAAATCGATGAAAAATGTGAAAAAATTGCTAATTTTCAATTGCCAATAACTTGAAAAGTATTGGATTTTTCGAAAAACTTTATAAATGATTTTTTGCTTAAAATTAGGCCTTCTATCACCCTCACCAAAAATTCACCCTCGAGAAGGGATGGCAACCACCCCCAAGGTGGTTTCGGAGTTCAAAATCATTTTCACTTTTGAAGTTAAGTGTAAGATGAACCTGATTCCAAAATTGTATGCAATTCGATTCACAGTAAAAAAATTCGGAACAATAATGCTTCAATGACTGCACTATAGGTGATTTGTGACTAGGGTCGTATACTCACAATCCGTAGGTGTAGATTGTAGATATTTATTAAGAGAAATATTGGGCGACCAGTTTCGCAGTGTAGAAGTTATACAGCATCATCAAGCTCTCAAGAAACAAAAGGATATCGGTACAAGGAATTATCTATTTACATGTTCATTACTGACAATGTTTTGTTTAAACCTACCAAATCCAAGTAAACAATTAATAATTTTACATTGTAAATTACAAACTGATAACCAGAAAAAAGTGCATTTAATATTATTGTCACAATCTCTGAGTGTCAACTGATAACTATGCAAACAGCAGACAAATAGTTGTTAGTTCTAAAATACTTTCGACTTATACTATCTCGAGTATTATATAGTGCTTACACAATCTGTATAAAATGTCATACATCTGATAACTGTCTTCTTAAGTTATTAAAGCTACTGAAAATGGCAGTGCTTATTTTTGTATCTTTGGTCATCATTTTGGCAACATGTTTGTACTTGTACTCGAAAAAGAAGTTCTTGTACTGGAAAGACCGAAACGTTTACCATCTAGAACCGACTTTCTTCTATGGAAATATGAAAACAGTAACCAAAGACCATGCTCATTTAACGACAGTCTTCCAGAAACTGTACGATGAGGCTAAGGCTTTGAAGAAAAGATACTGTGGATTTTACAGTTTTTTTCAACCACACTTTGTACCTATAGACATTGAAGTGGTGAAAGGTATACTTCAAAATGATTTTGATCATTTTTATAATCGAGGACGATATATAAACGAAAAAGCTGATCCTTTATCTGGTCATCTTTTCAGTTTAGAAGATGAGAAATGGAGGAAACTAAGAAATAAGCTTACTCCAATATTTACGTCAGGTAAGTTATTTTATTATTTGTTGACTTTCAATATACAATACAGTTAAGTAGAAATTGTTAGGCTGTTTGTTCGGGCTGTTAGACCGTTGTCTTCTAAGATTAGTTCTCGACGTTTCTCCAACACTAGGGGTTGGCATCTTCTGGATATGTTACTGCTTCGCTTTTAAGCTGAAACTGACCCCGCGTTGTATTAGCTATTCAATGTTCGTTCTCGAAGGATTGAACGTTTTTGTGCCGGTTTAGGATCGGTTGATCCTCTTCAGGCTTTTTTTTAGAAAAGAATGGCTTTGGCAGAGCCAATTAGCCAGTCTTGTTTGTGTTGGTTGTTAAAGTTAAAATCGACTGAATTTTAATTATTATAAATTGCAGATTCATAGTCAAAATTTTCTTATCAGTTATCAATGTTAGTACTATATATACCTAATAATTTTATAGATACATAAATTTTGCTTTGATATATTTTTATTCTATGTTTTTATTCTTTTGTTTTCTTGTGTTTTTTTTGTTTTGGTTTCTCTTTTTTTGTTGCTTTTTTTTTGTTTTTTTTTTGTATTGGTGCTTTTTTTGTTTTTGTGTAGTTTTTTGCTTTTTTTGTTGTTTTTTTGTATTTATTTTTTGTTCTATTTCTATTTTCTTAATTCTTTTGTTTTTTTTTATTAATTTGTGGTATTCTTTTTTTTTTCAAACCATATTAACAGATTAGGCCTATATACTATTTACAACTTGTATTTACATATTTTAACATGTTTGTAAATGCAATGAAGAATTTCCATATTATTTGAAAATAGTAAAATATTAAGGTTTATTGGAAAACAACACTTAGAATTTATTAATTCCTTATAAAGTTCGTTTATATTATTAATTTGTAAATCACATTCTAATATATTATGTGTTAGATTGCCTATTTTGCCACATGTGCAATTGGGAGTACTTGATAAGCCGATTCCATTCATGTAAAATGGCGTAAGCGCATGATTTGCTCTCAGCCGATTAATGGTCTCTAAAATGTCGATTAGATTCTTTATAAAACCATCTTCTTCAGGATATCCTAGTGTTACAATGATAAAAATTTAAGCCAGTCTTACATTCTCTGTAATGTAAATGCCAATTATTTTTAACTGTTTGTCTACTAACGGCGCGGCGTCAATATCTGTCGCTGGAATTAAATTTCTGCTTACTTTTTCTCCAAGCATATGTGCTGACTTAGCCAAATTGTCAACGATCCCATTGCCTTTTATTCCTGAATGGCCCTTGATCCATGTAATTATACCATTTAATCCTAATTGTATAATTTCAGAAAGAATTTTAAGGATTTTCAGTTCAATATTGTTTATATGTTTGACTGTTTGAATGTTGTTGAATCTGTCGACCACACTTTTACTGTCAGTAAATATAACCTAGTTGCTAGACAGCTTCAGTACTACATACTCAAGAGCAAACATTATTGCCATCATTTCTGCTGTGTATTGAGCAATCACTGGGTAAGCTATACTGGTGATGGTAATTTTTATTTTCGTGGAACATTGCACAGTCCGTTCCATTTACATCTTTTGACCCATCAGTAAAAATGTACTGATAATTTGTCCATTTTTCTTTAATAATTGTATCAAACATATTTGGTAGTAAATGTGAGGTTTAAGTAACATATTTTAACCCTTCTAGAAAATCGTGTTTTTGCCGTTTCACCGTAGTAGGGCGGAATTTGGCTTGTATAGAGAACATCGTTATATTTAATCGTACTTAGATAGCTTTCTACCAAAGGTATAGATTTTTTAGAACTCCAGTACCTATGAGTCAGGTCTAAAACTGATAGCTCATTAAGATCTTGAAGGTATTTGCAGTTCTTGGACATAATTCGGACTGTAAATTTATTGCTAAGAAATTGGCGGCGTAAATGCAATGGAGGTTCCACCGCTTCATTTTCCATTATTTAGACTGGAGTGGATTTTAAATAACCTAGGCATAATCTCAGGCATTTATTTTTTTGAACTTCAAGTTGAATATGTTGAGATATGATACGTTACAAAAGCAAACAGTCCAAGAGCCCACTGGCGTGTTAGCGTTCTTGTTCTTCTTCTTCTGTGAGATATTTGGAGGCTGTCGAGCTGTCGCTATTGAATCAGGGGTGAGAGGCTTGACTGGAATTAGATGTTCTTTCCAGAGTGAATGTGTGTGTTTTAAAGCTAGATGTGACAAGGTCGGGTCTCTAGTGACCATTGTTCCTGTGCAGTCTCGAGCCTAACTCAACCCCAAAACCAGTGTATTGCACTGTTATTTTGTGAACGAGTGTGCTCGTGAGTGGAGGCAACTTGGCTTTCGAGAGTCGGATTGTCGCATTTTGCTCAGTGTGAATGTGTGTTTATTTTAATCCAACAGTGATGAACGCTACCATTTCGATGTTATTTGGCTTCGTCAATCATTTGGATTTTCCCTGGCTGACCACAGACTCCGTGTAAAGTAACGGGGGCTGCAGTCGGTCGGGGGTTCCGGTGATAAGGATGCTTCGGTAGCAGAAAAATAACCCCTTCACTATTGGATTTGTGTGAGTGTGAGATGTGTGAATTTGTGTTTAGTGTGAATGTGTGCGAGTCTGCCTCAGCAGCAACTAAATTCGTGTTCTCTAGTGACCATTGTTCCTGCAGCCGTTTATGCATTTGCGATCAACTCTAAAACTAGTGTATTGCACTAAAATTTTAATATTGATTCCTCCCGCTAACAGCCAGGCCTCGTCGGAGTTCGATAGACGGTTCCAGCAACTGCTGATTCAGGTGAGAAAATAGTTGCGGCTATTTTCTCAGGGACGCACAGGTATCGTTAAGTAATGAGATTGGGAAACCGCAAAAAGCCAATCTCCCCCTGTCCGGGGTTAGGTGCATCAGGATGGACTAGATATGAAGTTTTTTGTTCTTGGGCTTCTGGGAAGATACGTGACCGCAGAAAGAGCCGGAACTTTTTAGTATTTCTTCTGTATTCAGAAGAGGGGCTGTTGATAGTTTCGAGGGTAAAGTTCCTGTTAAGAGTTTTTATTCTCTAGATAATTGGTGTGACGTTTGCCGTTGCGCAAGCAAGCAATTTGATTGAACCCAGCCTATGAGAAATGTTCACTCAGGTAGTACGATCGGGTGTAACAATTCATTGGAGTAAGGTGTGTTAACTCGAGTAAAAACAGGAGTCACCCCACCGTGCTCTAATGCTCTAGACCATCCCTTCCCCCCCTATAGCAATCTGATTCGCTATAGAGGCACAATAATCAGCCAAATGCTCTTCATGTGGAGGTCCTAGGTAATAGAACCCCAACATGGTTTCCTAACCGAATGCAAAAACTCCGGACAGCGCATCTCCGCTATATTCCTGTTATCTTAATATGGCTTAATCCGCGAACTAAAATTGCTTAAATCATGAATGTGTTGCTTGTGTGAGTCCATTTCAAATAGGTAAAGAAATAATAAATAATACTTACTCACAATCAATTTAATTTAACTATCAGACGACCGGTTTCGCTTTCTACAATATGCAAAGCATCCTCAGGTCTCGATACAAAGTTAAACAAATGCTGAAATAATAAAAACCTATATTAGGGTGTTGTCTAATAACGATAAACAAAGTAGATGTTGTAAATTACAATAATTATGCCAATATTACATGTCTGTGGTTTTATTTAAAAGAGTAAGTTGAATTAAAAAGTATAAAAGTTTTAAAAGTTTAAACAGACAAGGTAAAGCCCACAAATTGTTATAAAATAGTCTATTAGATTGTTATAAATTAATAAATGAGCAAATAAATAAAATAAACATTACTTACATGCCGGTACTCTATTAATTGATGGATGGTAGAACATGGTTGAAACTACTATGTATTGTTGAATGGAGAACTCAATTCTATTATTGCAGTTGTTTGACAGTAAACGGGAAGTTCTTGAGGAGATAGATTTGATCCAATGGAGAAGAGATATGTGTGTGACTGTTTGTTAAATGAAAGTGATGTAATATACATATTATGAAATGTGTGTTATTTATTGAGTAATTGTTCTTTACCTATTTAAAATTGCTTACTTGGGCTTCAAGTCTCCGCTCTGAATCCCGGCTCAGTTCGGCGACTTGGTGCTCAAGGGGGTTGGGCCCTACGTGCCCGGGTTTTGGGGTTTTTGTTAGTTTTTTTGGTGGCCGAAGCCGGTTTTTTGTTAGTATTTTTTTGATTTTTTTGGTGGCCGAAGCCGATTTTTTTGTGTTTTTTGTAATTTTTTTTGTGAAGTTGCGCTGTACTACGGAGGACATATTTATATGCTCTACTCACCTCCCCTCCACTGGTTTAGGTGTAAGAGGGCGTGTCGTTGTTTGTAGTAGCTTTTCTTTCTTCGTGTTTTGCGGGAAGGGTGTTTGTGGATTTTAACATTGATATCCATGTTTTGTTAATTTTTAGTCCTTCTTCTTTCCGATTAAAATTTTAATTCCGTCGATGAGACCTAACATGTAGAAAAATATTCTCCAAGTTATTTTTATGGCAAAATATTTTAAAGTCAATAAAGAGAAATAAAAATATTAAAAATATTTCAAAGGCCCTAAAGAGAAATAAGATATTAGCAAAGTTATTTTCTATCTAAAAATACTTTCAGAGTCCCTAAAGGAAAAAAAAAATTTCAGAAATTATTTTAAGTCACCGAAAGAAATAATATAAAAATAAAAATATTATAAATATTATAAAAGTTCCGTTTAGGAACTTTAGAGATTCTGAAAAAGAAATAATTTTTACAAAAATTATTCTAAGTCAAAATTCGCAGAAAAATACCAAATAAATAAATTTGAAAAATTATTCTAAGTTTGTTTATGAACTTAGGAAGAAAAATCCTGAAAGAAATAACCAGATAATGCAAATTATTTTAAGTTATTAAATCGGAAATAAATATCTTACCAAAATTTCAAATCCGAAAAATATGCTGAAAATAGAAGAAAAAATATGAAATCATTTTAAGTCAAAAATACGATTTAATTCGAAATAAAATATTTCACGAAAAATAATAATATAATATTAATAGACGTTCTATCGGAAACTTAACTCCACTATCGAAAGTGCCAATAAATCATACCCAAGCCAAGAAGAAATACAGGAGTATTGGGGAAATCAACTTTCCACACCAGCTGCTCTTAACACCAATGCTGGATGGATAGAAGATACGACGCACAGCTGTCAACACTACCGTACTACTGTCTATAAACCCTTCACCACAGAAGAAGTCTCTAATATCATCAAAGAGCTTCATAACTGGAAATCTCCTGGACCAGACGGAGTACAAAACTTCTGGCTTAAGAAGTTCTGTAGTGCTCATGAGTGCTTGTCAACACTAATTAATCGTGTTATTTCTGATCCGCAGGAAATACCATCATTCCTAACTTAGGGAAGAACTTATTTAATACCTAAGGATCAAAATAATACCCAAGATCCAGCTAAGTACCGCCCAATTACGTGTCTTCCAACTCTGTATAAATTGGTCACATCCTGTGTAGCCCAGCGTATCTACCAGCACTGCGCTCTAAACAATATCATAGAACCTCAACAGAAAGGATGCGCTAAGGGTTCCATGGGTTGCAAAGAACAACTTATTATCGACTTAGTCATTTCTAACCAGGCATGCACCAAAAAAAGGAACCTCTTCACTGCCTTTATTGACTATAAGAAAGTCTTTGACTCAGTGCCGCATGAATTGCTGGTGGATATATTAAGAATATATAAAGTCGATGATAATAAAGTGACCTTCTTAAGACATATAATGACAGATTGGAAGATTAAAATTCATCTCCAAATACCTGGTGAAAGCAATATCGAAACGGAAAATATCGCAATTAACCGCGGCCTATTCCAAGGAGACTCGCTGAGTCCCTTGTGATTCTGTCTAGCGATGAACCCACTATCCCAGCTATTGAACTCTACTGACTCAGGTTTTAGCATTAAAAACAACAACACTGTAGTGGCGAAACTTAATCATCTGTTGTATATGGATAATATGAAACTAATGGCTTCCACTCGAAATCACTTAGATCAAATGCTAAAAGCTGTGGAAACTTTTTCAACTGATATCAGTATGCACTTTGGGTTAGACAAATGTCGTGTATTAAATATAGTCAAGGGAAAGGTTCAGCCCGTGGGATTCCATATGCAAAATGTAAAAATTACCTGAAATGTATCGACAAAGACCATCAAGTCCAAAACGACAAATACCGATATTGATGTTAATCCCAAGAAACTATCCAACATCTTACTGGAGGCTGCAAGGCATTTGCCGCAACTGAATATAAGGAACAGCACAACTCAGTGGGAAGATCCTCCATCAAGAGATAGCTTTTAAACTGAGACTTTTACAAACAAACCATCTCCCATATTATCATCAATACGTTCCTGAGAGTATGCTTGAGAATGACAACTGCAAGCTATACTGTGATCGCACTGTGCTCACAGACCAAACTGTAGCACATAATAGAACAGATCTCGTGCTAGTTAATAAACTGACAAGACAAACAACTCTAATCGATGTGGCGATACCTAACAACAATAATCTGCGTGTTAAGTACAACGAAAAGATCGCCAAGTACAGAGATCTGGAAATACAAATAAGGAGACAATGGAGAATGGAAAGTACCCAGATACCTATTATTCTTTCTACCACTGGAGTCATTCCGAAGAACCTCCTAGAAAACATAAAAAAGCTGGGTCTAAATGAACATCTATATAAGATCATGCAGAAAGCTTTGCTACTTTCGACGTCCAGATGCGTGCGAAAATTTTTGGAAGATACACCGACGTACCAAGTCACCTCCTAGGACTCGATAACATGGAAAGAGTCCCACCAGAGCTCAATCCTTTTAATATCGTAGGTATCTGGGATGAGTGAATTTTCCCCTTAGAGGGAGTGTGAGCCGTATGGCTAAATCTATATATTAATATAGTATAATAAAGTCGAAAAAAGCTGAAATAAATGCAGTTTAAGTACAAATTATATTAAGTCTCGCTAGAGAACTTGGAAAAATTATGTAAATGAAAGGAGAACGGTTAGGTGCAATAAAAAGCGAAGTTACTGAGAAATAAATCTACCAGAATGTCTCTAGTGCCAAGAATGCTGTTTCTGCGGATTCCTGTCCAGACCAGAACGAATTTTTGACCGTTGTGCACCTATACTATATGAAATTAAGTAGGTGAAGTGCTCCATGGCGCTCTGCCATTGGAGCTTGCACAACAGCTAATGCTCAATTTCGGGCTGCAATTATGGTTGTAATTCGACCAATCGAAAAGCCATAATTTTGTTTAATTTTCGAGCAAGACCATTGGCTGCAATTATGATTGCAATTTGACTAATCGTAAAGCCGGAATTGAGCTATTGGCGATCGTATAATAGAGAAGTTTTAAGTAGGGCAAAGGAAAGTGATACGTTATAAAGAATTTAGAGTTCAACAAGAGGTCAACAAAGAATAATAAAATAAAATATTGTTAAGTCTCACACAAACAAGGTGTTTCAAGGAAAAATTAAAAGTTTTTATTTTTGTTTTATTTAAATTTTATCTAATAATAATATCTAATAAATATAGTTACTATTAACTAAAAATGTCTAAGTAAAAATCTATTTCTTTCAGCAAAGATTAAAGTGATGTTTCAAACACTTGTAGAATGTACTAAGGGATTGGAAAAACTTCTTGGCAAATTAGCCAATTCAAAACAACCAGTTGATCTCAAAAATGCCCTTTCATGCTTTACTACGGACGTCATCAGCTCGATTGCTTTTGGTTTAGACTGCAGCTCCATGGAAAACCCAGATTCGGAATTTAGGAAATACGGAGATAAAGCATTTCGTAAAAATTTAAGACAGAGAATAGGAATTATTCTCACAAGTGTGTTTCCTTGGTGGTTCGTTCGATTAACGGGTTACAAAACATTTTCGAAAGATGTGGATAATTTTTTTATTAACCTTGTAACAAATGTTATCTATGAACGGAAGAAGCAGAATATAGAACGAAAAGATTACTTGCAACTATTAATAAATTTAAATAAGAGTGCTAAAGAAAATGGGAATACGCAAGCACTAACTATGGAAGAAATTGCTGCTCAAAGTTTCGTGTTTTTTATTGCTGGCTTTGAAACCTCAGCTTCAACCATTAATTTTGCTTTGTTGGAACTTGCCCAAAACATCAATATTCAAGAAAAACTGAGAGAAGAGATAGCTGCTGTGCTTGGCAAACATGATAACCAAATAACCTATGATGCACTTAAAGAGATGGTTTATTTGGACAAAGTTATACAAGGTAAGTTCTCAGTTATAAAACGATAGTAGTTTTATCGATTTAAATACATTACCTTCAATAAATATTATGTCAGCGTTCTTGTACCAGAATCACTGTACAAACTACTTTCAGATTATCATCTGCTCTATTTCAGCTAATTTTTAAAGTATATGCCAGTTATTTGTGCACATAATAATGGTTTGTTATTTTTGATTAAACTACGGTATCCGTAGTGTGACCAACTAGCCCGAAAAATCCGGGACATGGCCCGAATTACAAGAATTTTTGGTAAAATTCAATTTTGAAATTTTACATACATTATTTTTCTAAGAATTCACATCAAATTGAATTGTTGGGACGAAAAAAAGTCGAAAATTTCTAGAGTGTAATACTAATACCACATCCAAAACGCATGCATTTTATCGTGGTATTATGTTATATGAAAACTCAAACTATGCACTTTTGCTGTATTTTACTGAACTCGTTTCTGTATTTTAGTTATCCCGTTTCGAAAAGATTATTCGAAAACGATAACAATTCATGTATTGTACGCACATCAATTATGCCGACCGATGTATGCCTCATTCAACGATGTAATGATTGCTGATAATGCTGATAATGTTTTTTTTTTTCGGTTTTATCAACCATTCTAAGTAGATAAACAAACTTCTTTATTTCATTCGCGCTATATTATTGAAGAATAAATTATTTATTTCCAAACCGTTACGTGCTTTGCACCAAGATCAAATATGCTGCGTTGCAGTTTGATTTTATGTAAACATTTATTTTATGTAAATAATCAGTTTGAAGCCTTAAATAGATTAGTGATCATCTACGAAGGAAGGTCCGAAGCATTATTTAGTTGACTTTACATTTTTCATTCAATTCTATTGTTAATATAGAACCAGAACAAGAGAGTAAAAAGAGAAAACACTATTGTACTTTTATTAAAACATTGCAAGAAGAATTCCCATTTTTAAAAAAAAAAGTAAGTGACGTAAAATATAATATTTGTGAATCCAAATTTTCGATCGCACACAGTGGAAGAGCCGATGTAGTGAGTCACATCAAAAGTGAAAACCCCCATCACCTTCGGGAATCCTTCCGAAGTGAAAGTCGACATGTCAAAATAAAATACTTAAGTGAATTTGTGGTTAATTTCAATTAAAGACACCAAACAAGAATGTTGTAATAGACTCATCGTATCATAAAAATCGCATTTTAATTATCTTTTTTCTAAAAGCATATTAAGGAATTAAAATAAATTCCGCCCAAATCAATTTAGATATTTTCTGGAATAAAATTCTGTTTTAGAAACGTTAAGAAAACATCCACCATTGGGCATCCTTGCTCGTATGTGCAACAAGGACTACCAGCTGCCAAATGACGATTTTGTTTTAAAAAAGGGAACTATGGTTAGTATCCCTATCCATGCTATACAAAGAGATCCAGATTATTACCCAGATCCAGAAAAATTTGACCCCGAGAGATTCAGTAAAGAGAATATAGATAAAAGACCTGCGTTCTCTTACCTGCCGTTTGGTGAAGGTCCACGTATCTGTATAGGTATGTACAAAAATATGTTTCTTGTACTAAATTTTAATTTTTTAAAACACTTCAAAATATTTATTAGATATTTAAAAGGAGCTTATTTAGTCAAAACGTTGAATAAATGTAACGATATCTATTTATCTATGGCTAAAAGAACAAAATTGTATGTCCAAAATTTATGTTTTCAACAATATCAATTTGAAAGTTTTCATTAACCTTGACAAACCATGCATCTTTTAAAAGTAATTAAATTACAGTTATGATCATGTTACACCTTTTTTTATATATTATTTAGTTCTATTTTTATTAGGGTTAACTTTTAATCACATTTAGGTAACAAGCTAAAAGTATCCCTCTGTATGGACATACAATACAAAACACAATACAAAAGACAAAAGTCATACAAAAATTCTAAAAGTCTAACGGTTCGCTATATTTACGCGGGTTTCGGATTAAAAATTTTATTGTAAGCAAAGAATATAGATGCTTATAGAAGCGTCTATATTCTTTGTTGAAGTACCCAGTTTTAATTACCTACTATTTGGTGAAATATCAACTGGTCAAATGAAATGAAAAATAATCCATAACTTTTTTTAATTAAATAATAATGGAAAATCTTTTATATAATTGACAGTATAATAAGGAGAATTACTTTATTAATGAGTCTAGTGTGGCTAATATAAACCTAATAATAATTTTATATTACACTTCACACAGAAAATATGGTCTATGTGTATTTGTTCCATGAAGAGAATTTCTAATGAAAAATAAAAAAATTTAACTTGCCAACAAAAATGAAAATCAGTCATTATCATCAAAAATATCATAATCGTCATCATCATCACTGTCATCACCATTAATTGTTATTATGATTGGACTTATTTCGTTTATTTTATTTTCACGAGTCCACCACCACCACCAGTACAGTTGCACCACACTTCTGGAGTTACATTTGAAAGTGCCTTTCGCCAAGTTTCCCGAACTGCGTCGTCGCTATAACCGTTAGGCCCAATATGGTTGTCATAATATTGTTTTGCTATTTCTCATATATATTCGATGGGATTAAACTGTCAATGATACGGTGGCAGACGTAAAACTTGATGACCGTAACTTTCAATAATCTGATCCACAACAAAGGTTTTTGGTTTTGCGTGGATATTTGGCAAGCGTAATAATTCTGATTTTAAAATATGTTGTGTAAATGGTATACGCTCTTTTGTCAACCATTCTTTAATTTTATTAACAGTCCAAGAATTCGTTGGACTATTGTTTAATACTTCAGAATGGTAAGGTGCATTGTCTAAAATAATTACGCTGGGCTCACTTAAACCTGGGAGAAGTTTTTCATGTAACCATTTAACAAACATTTCTGTGTTCATATTATCGTGATAGTCACTTGATTTTGATTTAGATGAAAATATTAAATCAGCACCTTCTATAAAACCCGATTTCCCTCCTGCATGTAAAATTATGTGTCGCTTCCCTTCTCTATCAGTATGTTTGATAGACTTTACGTTATCATCTTGCCATATTGTCTTGGTTGCACCCCTAGAAAATATCCATGCTTCGTCTAAATATAAAAAATTTGCCATTTCTTCTCCTAATTTAGAATATTTTCTTAGAAAGTTAATTCTTTTATGCACAACAGAACTTCTTCCACAAAGGGCTTTTCTGTTATCCTCCTTTTGAAATTTGAAACCCAAATTATGTATCACTTGCCATAGACTTGTTCTGCCAATTTTGTCAAATTTTCTATCTTTTAATTCCGAGAGAATTGTATTTAAGGTCACATGTTCCTTGTTGGCTCGCATTCGATAAATGGTATCACGAATTTCAAATTTTTTTCCATCTGGAATATCTTTCGCTTTCAATGTTTTTCGGCTTTCTTCTTTCGGCCGTTCATTATTGCGATTTTCTAATACTCCTCTTAGTTTGGTTTCACTAATTCCTAGAGTATCACATACGCGTTGTTGAACAGACATTACCGATTTTAAAGGACCGTCATTTTCTTTTTCATCCGTAAAATACTTATGTACACTACAAATTAGACTATCTACGTCTAACACACGTCTAGGCATTTTTAAATATTTCCACCAAACATACAATGTCAACACTGGCAAAGAATCAATTCAACTGCAATATTGTAACAAATTTATACCTACCCTAATGTTATTTTAATGTATTTTAAAATATGACCATTAATGCAGTTTTTAACTAATTTTCTGGGAAGTCGTTTACTGCAACTGGTTGTCAATGAGTCATTAGCATAATTTTGTTAATCCGAAACCCGCGTAAATATAGCGAACCGACTATAGTCCGTTTCGTATTCAGAATCACTTGGTGTCTTCTGGATTTATCTTCTCACGTAAGAGACACAGAAAGTCATGTTTTTTGAATTGGGTAAAAAACTGTTATACTGATGTTACATTTTTTTATAATTAAAATATTAAACAATTTTTAATCCCGCTAGCACTGTTGCTGAGACGCCGATGGTCGTATTCGCAAAAAGCTTGTTAAATTTTATTGGAACGTACCGACTTCTCAAATTACGGAAGAATCTACTTGGTTAACCCTTAGGTAATCTTGTTTCTTTTTGATAAATTCAAAAAATATCAAATCCGTAAAATAGTGTCGAAACACAATTCAGATTTCTGCTTATAATCTGAGCCTCCTAAAAATTGCAAGGCAAACAGACGTTGATAAAAGATGTTAAAAATATCGTCGTGCAATATCGTCGAAAGTACGTTATGATATTTTTTTGTAAGAACCTAATCCAAATGGATTTATCTTTCATCACGTTCTAACTAGAAGGATCCCGTTATTTTCGATATTCGTTAGAATCACAGACCGTAGGTGATTTGTGATGATAATAAAATCACGTTTTTCCCTTTTTTTGTTTACAAAGGATACCATAGTTATTATGTTCCTGAAATCCAAATACCGAGAACTGTGGTTGTCTGTTCTTAATCTGTATAAATTCTGGGGGAATCTCTCGATGATTTTTCCTCACAGTTTTTACTGAAGTTAAACTATGTCGTTTGCGTAAAATTTTCACAAGGTCATCAGAGGTAAACCAATTACCGAAAGTGATATTTCGATTTTTACCAGAAACTGGTGCTATCAGTCTTTGGACAACATCAATAGGTTTATTGCTTATTTGGTACGGCCCATCTGGCTGGTTCCCTGCATAAATTTCCATATTAAAAACATAAAAAATACGGAAGTCTACTAGGGCCTGAATTTTTATTCCGTATTTCGCTGGCTTGTTCAGAATATACTGCCAGAATGAGCAACGCCCACGAAAGAACTCTAACTTGTTGTCAATAGCCAAGTACTGTCCTGGTGAGTAAGCTTGTTGACAATTTGCAACAAATTTTTAAAAAACTGTCCTAATAGGAACCAACTTATCAGACTGTTGCCTTACTTGTCGATTGTTGATCATCACTGAACGAAATATATCGATTCCTGTACCGTTTTTTCTCCAAAGGTCTTTTAGATTACGATGATGATTTCTATATACACCCGCTGGGTAGACGTGACCAAACAATATTGGTTCTGCTACAATACGCTTTATCTTTGTAGGCTAACGCTTTTTAATATATCAATACATTGGTGCAGACCGTGATACCTTCAAGCATTTCTTCATAAAAAAAAAGAAGCCAGCAATCTAAAAGAGTCTTAGTGCCAGGTGGGGACTATTCGGATTGCAGAACACTGTACTCACTTTGACCATCAACTTACAACTGAAATTGGTTCAGAATACCCAAAGCCAACATGTTGTTAGAAAGCAATAGGCAAATAATAAAACATCCGTGTATTAACCATAGAATTATGCTAGTTCTTAGAGTGTTGGGGTACCATTAGACCCCACCTTGGTGACGCAGGGTTAAAGAACTGAAACATTTGATTTATCTTTTTTTTAATCTTAAAAGCAATCACTGAAAAAGTTATAAATAAACAAAAAAATGCGCAGTGTAATTGAAATACCGGAACTAAATTAACTAGTTATTTTGTAAGAACAATAAGTTAGGCGATTAAATCACAAACTAAAACAAACATCCCATTCCTTCACGTAAATAGACATAGACATGTTGAAATATTGCATTTGTAAAACGTTTATGACACCAATAACTTTATCGTGGGTACTACATTTGATAAGATAATCGAGCACGTTAGATTTTAGTGTTTTGTTGAAATAAAATTAATTATAATGTTTACATTTTAGGATTGAGACTTGGAAAACTACAGGCCAAAATAGGACTCATCACTTTGCTGAAAAACTATCGTGTTACTTTGAATGAAAAAACAAAGTTGCCAATCACATATGACTTTGGCACGATATCTATGGTTAAAGACGGAGTATGGGTGAATTTAGATCCCATACATAAATGAGCAAATGAATTATACCTTTAGAGATTAAACAGTATCTTTGACTATGATTATTGTCGAATTGTAGTAAATAAACATTGTTTTAAACCACATTCGATTTTGACACGATATCGCCCCCAAAAATGTTATTCGGTCAATTTATTGGGTATAAAGAACTATCATCTCTTGATAATCTTATCATTACTGGAGATTTTAATTTCCCGCCAGATAACTTTATTATCTGACGCCGAAAACGCTCATAGTTTATTTAAAAGCTTTGTAGTAAATTCAAACCTGATACAACTCATCACAGAACCTACTAGATTTAAGAATTAATAACCAACCTTCTATTTTAGATCTAGTACTTATTAACGAGGAACACCTGATTTCATCTCTCGAAGACAGTTTTCCTGTAGGAAAGTCAGATCATTCAGTTATAACGGCTGATATCCAGCTCAATCAAATACTACCCCGCAAACATAATATTGTTACATATATGTTACTACCGTGTTTTCTGAAGTTGACACTTAACTCTCTCATAATACCATCCACAAAATAATTTCTACAAATACCACCTTCCGTTAGATTCATAAAAACAACCTTAAACCCTAGATAAATCGCACTAAACAGCAATAAAAGAAATTAATCACAAACGACATCTATGGCGAAAATTTAAACACACCAGGTTTCTCAGTGATTTTCAAAACCATCGCAGATTTTCAAATAACTTACAAACATCTCTAAAAACTCTAAGACGAAACATTTGGAGCAAGTGTTGAAACTGGTAACATTAAAAAAGTCTACAAATACATACGATCCTCCTTGACTTCTTAACTTTCCATTCCTTTAACCGTCCTTTTAAAAGGCAGTGTAAATTATGCGTAATTTAGGTTAGTACAGCTACCAGCTGATAGATGGCTCTAGATGGAGTGTTTTCAAAAGCCAGCATTCGACAAGTTTTAACGATTTTAGTGCGCGCACATGCTGTAATTGTGAGGTTATCTGTGTAAATTGCCAGGTTTTGGACTACAAAATGGATGCTCATAATTGGAGGTAAGTCTAGAATTAAAAAACTGTTATTTCACGGCATTGGCATGTGGATTATTGTATAATAGGGACTTATGTACGTATATTCTTGGCTTAAATAGTTGTCACGTTGTTTCAAAGGCTCGCCGCTTGGGATTTCATTTTGTTCTTTTAAAAGGACGGTAGTAATTAGTACTACCAACGTGCGTATTGTTTCAGGAGGCCTCTCAAATTGCATGAGCTATTAGAAGAGCTTGATTCTGATGAAATCCCAGTCCCTCCAGATGGTTTGATCATATTTCCCCCAGAAAATGCCAATGATGATGTCACCGATTGCGACTCCGGCGATAAAGAACTAACTACAATAAATAATTTACCGGTTAGTCAGATGACAAACGATGTAGAACTTGTTTTTGACAACTCGACTGAATTACCACAAGATTCTGTGAATTCCAGCCTACCAGAAGAAGATTCGGATGATGACAATATACCATTGGTTTTGTTTCTTTCCAAGGAAAAGCTGCCCCATCAATTAGAGAAGAGAATATCTGCACACTGGATTCAAGGAGACTTGTATCAACACCCTGATTGTACTTACTGGAAAACTCAATTTGGACCGAAAATGACTCAGTCGCCGATGGAAATTTTCAATTTGTTTTTTGATGATGAAGTCATCAATTTGGTTACAGAATACACTAACATCTACGCAGGACAAAGAAATCTTTTGAACGACATTACTCAAAATGAGATTCGATGTTTTATAGGCGTTCTTGTACTGAGTGGTTATGTGGTTGTGCCGAAAAGGTACATGTACTGGGAAAATCGTGACGATTCGCACAATGCAATGGTGGTAGCTGCTATATCTAGGGATAGATTTTCCCACATAATGAAAGTTTTGCATGTTTGCACTAACTTGTCATTAGATAAATTTGATAGATTTGCCAAGATGCGACCCCTGTTCGACGTAATAAACAAAAAATTTATACAATTTTCCTCTTTAGAACAACATCACAGCATGGATGAGGCAATGGTTCCGTATTTTGGTCGCCATCCCACAAAACAATTCATCAGGGGAAAACCAATCCGTTGGGGGTACAAAATGTGCGTAGAAGCCCTTCGTCTGGGATATATAGTTTGGTTTTCTCCTTATCAAGGTAATTCCACTACAATACCTGAACAATATAAAGTCCTTGGATTGGGAGCATCAGTAGTTCTATCATATGCAGACAGATTGAATGAAGTATGGCCTCAAAGGCGATTCCATCTTATATTTGATAATTATTTTACTTCTATTCATTTACTGCCTGAGCTAAAACAAAGAGGCACATTTGGTACAGGTACTGTAAGGGAAAATCGCACCATGAAATGCCCTTTACCCTGTTCATCTATTATGAAAAAAACTGAACGTGGTAAATGCGAGTATCATCTTGATAAAAATACAGGAATAGTGGTTTGCGCTGGCATGATAATAATATCGTTTCTATTGCTTCCAATTTTGTACCAGTAATGCCTTGCTTCTCTGTAAAGAGATTTTTACAAGCAGAGAAAAAAACATATTCAAGTTCCTCAACCAAATATTGTTAGAATATACAATAACTTCATGAGTGGCGTTGATCGCAGTGACCAGAACATCAGTTTATATCGAGTGTCCATAAGAGAAAAGAAATGGTATTTTCCCCTTTTTGCTCATTGCGTTGATATGGCTATTCAAAATGCGTGGCAGATTCACAAAACTCAAGACGGTAAACTGGATCAACTTGAATTTAGAAGATCTATTGCAACTAATATTTTGGAAACTTTTAAAAAAGAAACAAAACGCGGACCTGCTAAGCGGAATTCGAATTCGGTAGCCAATTCAAGATATGACGGTATTAACCACTTGGTTCTTTATCAAGAAAAGCAATCGGGATGTGGATATTGTCACAAAAAAGTCCAGTTTTTGTGTGAAAAGTGCAAATTACCTTTACATCCAAAATTTTGTTTTAAATCCTTTCATTCTTTGTAAATTGATACTAATAAAATATATATGATATCTGGTACCGTATATTACTACCGTCCTTTTAAAAGAACATGTCAAAACTTGACATGTATCGTCATAAAAAAATATATGATTGTGTTTTTTTGGTTCCATATACTATAATTTCCATGAAAATTCGAAATTAATTCAAAATGTTAACAATAAAAGTTTCAGTAGTATCTGGGTTAAATCAAAAACCCAACCAGACTTTATGCTTTTCTGACAGAATCTTCCAAAACTCTCTCTTTCACAGTGGATCATGTCAAAAGACACCTAATTAAACTTCGCACAACCACTTTAGCTGGTTTAGATAGTTTAACACCAAAACTGTTAAAGAGATGCGCAGACACGTTTGCAATAACCTTAATGCTAATTATGCAAACTTCTTTTATCCAGAATTCCTTACCCTCAGTTGGAAATTAGCATCCGTCACCCCTATTTTTATAAAAGGCAACAACTCGATCCCACCAATTATTATCCGATTAGCTTGCTACCAGTAGCTGGCAAAGTCATGAAAGCCATTATTTCTGAGGAGATGGCTAAATTCCGTCTCCAGGAACATGTTATTCCAACACAACAACATTGATTTGTCTCTGGTCGCTTTACCCTAACCCATCTTCTACATTGTGTTAACGACTGGACGTCATTCCTGAACAGTTTGCAGCTGGTTGACGTTGTTTATCTAGATTTCTCCAAAGCATTTAACCGTGTACCTAAGCGCAGAATTTTACATAAGTTAGAACATTGCGAAGTTCGCGATACTTTACTTCGTTGGATAGATAATTTTCTGACAGATTGACATTACAAAGTTAGCTACCGAATTTTTCTAACAAGACAGGTTAGTGGAAAGTGGAGTGCTTTAGGGTTCTGTCCTTTGACCCTTTGCTTTTTACATTAAAGGAATAAAAAGAAAAGAGGCCTCCAAAAAAACTGTTGAATGCAGGAATGTAGAGAACAGACCTATTAGACGACCAAGAAATCGATTGGAGGATGATGTGGATGAGATGCAAGAAAGGTAGACCAGAGATTAAATTGGGTTGTATAGCCATAAGATGGATAGATGAATAATTTATAAAAAATTGTATTTATTATAAATGTGAGATATGGGTGGTACCGGGGAAATGAAATACCCGGCGTGGACCAAAACTAGCAAAACAGTACCGTCTGATCCAGTGTGGACGGCTACGAACAGCGTCTGACCCAGAGTGGGCGGCTGATGTAGAACTCACCAACCCGTCTGGCAAGCGAGGTGTTTTAATGCCAAAAACCCTCTTCACATGTGGAATTATAAAACAAACGGAATAGGACCCAGGTGGGTAGAATTACTAACTCGGAATACCACAACAGAAAACCGGTTCGCCTCAAGGATTCTGGGAGAGGCAAATATTCGACCAAAATAAATGTAGGAACGTATAACATCAGATCCATGAAAGAGGACACTAAAATCCACGAACTAGAGAAAGAACTGACTAAAATACAGTGGGATATTATCGGCATATCCGAAGTAAGAAGAAAAGGAGAACAAAAAATACAGCTAAAATCAGGAAATTTACTATACTATAAAGGTAATGAAGAAAATACCAACAATGGAGTAGGATTTATAATAAATAAAAAAGTAGTTAAATACATACAATCTACCAAGGGCATATCAGATAAAGTAGCATATACGACGCTTAAATTAAAAAGAACGTCCTTAGAAATCATACAGGTGTACGCTCCAACAAGTACCTACAGCGATGAAGATATTGAACATTTTTACGTAAATATAACAACAGCTATGGAAGAAAAGAAATCAAAATTAACGCTAATAATCTGGAACTTCAATGTCAAAATAGGAGAACAACTATATAAAGAAGAAGACAAAGTAGGACACCATGTATACGGCAGAAGAAATTATAGAGGACACACATTGATGAATTACTTGGAGGAGAAGCAACTATATGCAATGAATACTTTCTTTAAGAAAAAACCCCAAAGAAAATGGACATGGATTAATCCCAATGGTGAAACTAAAAACAAAATTGATTATATTCTTTCAACGCAAAAATCCATGGCTAAAGACGTAACA